AGGAAGAGGGACACCACAGCTAAATCGGGTTGTCCAGGGCCTGATCCAGCCTCGCCTTGAGAGTCTCCAGAAACCTCCTCTCATCTTACCTCCGCTCTAGGCAACCTGTTCCAGTGCCTCACCACCCTCACTGTGTAAGACTTTTTCCTTACATCTAACTTAAATCTACCCTCTTTAAGCTTGAAACCATTTCCCCTTATTCTATCACCACCAACTCTGCCAAAGAGTCTGTCCCCATCTTTCCTGTAGCTTCCCTTTAGATACTGAAAGGCTGCTCTCAGGTCTCTCTGGAGCCTTCTCTTCTCCATGCTGAACAGTCCCAGTTCTTTCAGCCCATCCTCACAGGAAAGGTGTTCTATCTCTTGTGCCATTTTTGCAGCCCTTTTCTGGACATGCTCCAACAGGTCCATGTCTGTCCTGTACTGAGGACTCCACATCTGAATGCAGTACACCAGGTGAGGCCTCACCAGTGCAGAGCAGATGAGCAGGATCACCTCCCTCGACCTGGCCAAGTTTCTTTTGATGCAGCCCAGGAGACAGTTCTTTCTGGGCTGCAAGGGCACATCGCTGGCTTATGTCCAGCTTCCCATCTACCAGCTCTCACCCTTCTGGCTCGTGCTTGGCTGATAAGGCTTTCTTTGTCACACACTCCTTGCAGTCACAGCCCCCGGAAACCACCAGCACTTGGTGTGCTCTGTCAGAACAGCAGCTCACCAGGAAGCAACTCGCAAACTTCATCAAGAATAACGCAGGCAGCAATCACCTTGTGCTCTTACTCTCAGCTCGATTCAGAGTAATTTCAGCACTGCTGCATATTTGCATGCAGCTTGTAAGGTGCTTGGTATTTTATGGCCATATCCTGTGTTACCATTCCACCTGATAGACATCGCTCCCAGGACAATGCAGGGACCAGGGCACATGCCCACTTTCTCCATTTCTTGTTTTTTTTGTTTTTTTTTTTGTTTGTTTGTTTTTTGTTGTTTTTTTTTTTTTTTTTCCCCAAGCAAGTAAGATTAATATTCAATGGAGCACTAACACATTTTCTACTGCTCCTGTTATGCTCAGAGCCTGGACTCCTATCCTGCTCAAATGCAAAGGAGCTGCTGCCACATGCCAGAAGGGTAAGAAGTCCTTCTAAAGATTTGACATTGTATAGAGAGGTCTCATCATCAGCTCTGCTTCCTCGAAGAGGCTTCCCAGCAGGCAGGAAGGGATTTTGCCTTGAGGGCACAGATCCAGTGACTGTCTCTTGGCAGCTTTCCTCACCTGCAGGTCACGTCCGGGTTGTCTGTGAGCACAGGCAGGCTTTCATTTCAATCAGCTCTCTCATTCACCCACACTATCTGCTTTAAAATAAGCTGTTGTTCCCATAGACAGAGTATCACATGTGTCACAGCCCAGTTCTCCACTAAAAGCCCTGTTCTAGGAGCTATGCAAGAGTAAGAGAGAAAGGGGCAAAAGATTTCTGAAGATGGGAGAACAGTCTGTAAAAGAAGGAGAGCAGGGAGAACAGATGATAATATCAGTTAACAGACCCCTGCTCCAGTGCTAAGAGGAAAAGCCCAAGGACCATGCAGTGAGGAGACAGGCATCCAGGGTGTGGAACCTAGCAGAGCAGAACAGGTGGACAAGAACAGAACATAGAGGAAACTTTTATACAACAAAGTTGTCTGCTGATAGAAGAGTGTAGCTGCATGTCAGAATGAGACACACAAGCTGAGTAAAGTCACGCACAAGCTAAGTAAAACAAACCCAAACAAAGCAGAAGCAGAGACTCTACAATCCTGCTGGAGAAAGGAGCAAAGGGAGGAGAAAGCCCTTTCACATATACTCAGTTGTCCTGTCCTCCTCCCACTTTGTGACAAAGAATAGTCTGTAGTGGGGAGAAACTGCTCATGGCTGTTACAGAAAGCACTTGTTAAATTCTCCTGATTGTCTCCCACCTGCAGTCTCCTGGCTCTACAGCACTCAGACTCAGCTGCCCGTTTTCCCTGTTGACATGGACAGAAAATTGAGCAATTACCCTTAAACTCCTCTCTCTTAGATTGCCCAGATTGCTACATACATGGCATTAAGCCCCCAATTGCCCCTGGCTGAAAGTGACTCAACTAGGCCTGTCCTCTAGGAATTAAACATTTTTTTGAGGCCTGTGAAAGTTTATTATTCCTTAAGATGTGATGCATTAAATCCTGTTAAAGCGAGTTTTCCATGGTACAGAGGAGCTGGGCTGCACCACAGTTCGGTTGGACACACAACAACCTCACAAAGGAACATTAGTTATCCACTTGCTGTGACTGTGTTCTAACGTGTACCAGTGACTGCTCAGGAGGGTGGGCACTGAGCTCAGAGAAGGAAGGCACTGTAGGAAACCCCAGAATCCATCAGACAATGCACCAGAACTGCTGCTGGAGAGATGCTGTACTTTTTCATATCAGTCTTTCCAGCTTGCAGTTTTAAAGGAGCAGATGGTGCTTTTAGTGAAACACATTTCTTTGATCCCTATAACTCAGCACTGGCTCCTTTTCAAAATGGCTCTCTTGTCCTGGAGTAGCCTCAATGAAGAAGAAATACAGGTTAAAGAAAATGAATTCTGAGCAAAGCTTGAGCCAAGACACTTCACTACTAATATTTCAGTGGCTTATCTTGCACAGTGTGAATGACTTGCACCTGGGTTTCCCTGTGCAGCTGTAAGGAGTGGCTGAAAATGCATATAGTTCCACATATGATGTCCTGTGTGGTCCATCTCCCTGCAACATCCCAGGTTACCTCAGTCTTCACACAACCTTCCCACACTCTGAGAACCAACTGTCCTTCTCTCCCACACTCCCACATTCTCCACATGCCAAACCATGGATTCTCTCCAGGGCTTGTCATTTTTCAGTGCTTCCTCCAACAGACTCCAAATTCTAAGCCTCTGAGCTTTAGTGCCATACAAACGATTATAGCTGAGCACACTTCAGATACGTAAGCTATCTTTTTAAGGGCAGACTGTTTTGTCTTTCATTCTTTTAATAAAAAGGTTGGACAGCGGACAAGCAATGTTAATGGAATGGTACAGCTAAGCTTTCTAATAGGGCAAAGGAAGGTAATACAAATGTACTGGTTGACAGCAGCAATCAGTAGGCAACCGCGCCTGTTCATATTAAGTTGTACAAGCTAACACATTATGCAGCAAAAAATAACCATGACCCATCCTTGGGGATCCATACACCAATGTCTTGATTTAAGGGTGGTTAGAATCTGGGCTTTACTGCTACAGTTAAGGACACAAGCCCTTCACTGTGCGCAGGGGAGGCCAATATGACTCAATTTAAGGCACAACCACAGCACACCTTCTGCACTGGCCAGCTCTTATGTACCCCTCTGCTTAATTGCAGAAGCATTTTTAATCAGGTTCTGGAGTTTATATGTTACCTGTCCTCACTGCAATTGCTGAGTCCACACAGAGAACTGCTCTCCCAGAATCAGTCTGTTTAGTTTCCCTGTACCACTAGGACCACTAGCATGCAATGTATTGATCATTCAGAGATTTTCCATATCAGAATTAGATCTACAAACCAGTGTATCTGATTATACGAGCAACTGCCCGGGTGGGATCTCCCAGTAACGTTTGCAGGATCCTTCTTCTAACACATGCATATAGTCCAAAGTTGAATTCTGATTAGCAAACAAGCCAAAACTAACTACAAGCCACAAATTAGGTACAAGTAAATAAGGGAAGCGTATTACAACCTATCATGTCTTCATACCATGTTCTGTATCAATTCTATTCTGTATTTATAGCCCAACATATTCTGTATTTATAACCCAAGCACTAAAGGTCATATACTGCAAACATCTGGCAAGTTTTTATACCTGGTTAGCAAAGAAAGTTATTATACTCTGAATACAAGACCAAGGTTCAACAAGAAGGACAGCACACATGCAAACAGACAAATAGCTATTCAGAACAGACTATCAGCCTCAGTGATATATCATGAAATTTAAGAAGCCCAAGAAACATCCCATGGGGGAAATTAAATCTATTCTGAAGATGCCAGTGCTATAAAGGTGCCACTTCAGGCAGTCATATGCTGCTGTGCTTAATCTGTCTGGAAGACCCAAATAAGTCTTCTAATTAGTCTCATTAAACATATTGATGTCTCATCCTTTGTGACTTCCAGTAATTTTCTTAATGCTTAGCAACATTTTACAGATGCAACTTTTTATACACTGTATAAAATTCTTAGCCCTTGAAAATTGAGGTAGCTGCTAGAGACTTCAATGAATTTCTACATCCATGGCCTTCCACTGTTTGCCTAGGACTTCCTACTACAGATTTTTCCTGGGCTTTCTCTTGCTTCAATCAGTCCTGTAAGCGTAGGTAATATAAACCGTGTGGAAAACTAGCAGCGGTAAGTTAGGAGTCCAGTACGATAACCCACCAGAGTAAGTTCAGCTTATGATCTAAGATCTTGCATTAGTGCAAGTGTTTTTCTTAAATAACGAGTTCTCTAATGACAGATGCCTTAAGAAAACTGTGCAAGCACTTGTCCTGATAGGCACAAGATAACGCTTTTATCACAAAACACAAGAAGAGCTTTAAGCAGAGCCTGCTATCATCTAAACTAGGGGACAGCAGTGATTTCTATCCCTGCTTTTACCTTTTTATCAGACTTTTAGCTTTCTTCTTTCCCAGTACACTATTATCCCTATGGAGGTAATCACAGAGAAGTGTCCCCATGACATTTTCTTTCTTCCTCAAGGCATTTATTATTCCGTGTCAATGAAGAGACAGACTTAGACTGTAGGTTCATTTCATCATCGTTCTCTCAATCTTCTTTGCTCTCTCTCCTCCATTCAGCAGCTGTGAGACTTAAACAGCAGCCACATTTGTTTCTCTCCTCAAGCTGATTCATTCTCTAGCCATTTCTTACCAGATAGCTGCCTCTGCTCACTTTACTGGATAACCCCCAGACAGGTATAAAGGCAATTCTGGCATCAAGTAGGTGAAAACATACCTCCTCCCTCACTCGATACCTCCTGGCTCTGCTGCCTGAGACGATGACTGCAACAAAACACAAGGTGAAAAGAATTTCAAATGAAAGCCCAAAGAAGCATCTTCTTCCATCTTCTTCTTCCCCACAAGTCTACAATGCCTCATATCTGCGGCAAATACTTAGGTTATTACACGTGGCTTAGACAGCAGAGCCTGGCATGAGTATGCTGGGAAAGCAGACATGTTCCACTTCTTTCTCTCACACGGGAATGACACAGCCACCATAAACTCTGTATCCAGGGAACTACAGAGCAACCAGTCCTGACCCATGACCAGTGCATGAATTTATGCCAGGCTCTGCATCCACCCCAGATTCCAGATCTTGATGTACAGGAGCTAAGAGAGTTGCATCCCCTTTCTCTATGAAATCAGATGTAGAAGTTGTGAAAGAAGTCTCAGCAACAATGGGAACTTACTCTTCTACTTCTTCTGCATGCTTTTTTCCTGACCTGCAAGACAAGGAAAAGCTTGTGCTTAGAAAAGTCTAGAAAGATATATTAAAAAACATATATTTCTCTGTATCACTCTTAATGTATAAAACAGTTCCTGCAACCAGGTCTAATATCACACATCACACCTGTAAAGAGTTCTTACTGACCACTAAACCAAGGCATCAAAAAGTCCTTGAGTGCATCAAGATAAAGCAGAATCATCTGAGTCCCAAAAGACAATCAGGTCCAGATACAGCAAGGAACAGAGTCCCTGCTTTTTCAGTTTCTCAGATACTTTTTTCATACTCTCTGACATCAACTGTGGGCAAAGCTTGCCTTACCTGGGTGCAGAGGTTGGCACATTAAGGAGCAATAAAGAAAGTATAATTTGTCTACCTTCCCCTGAGAGATCAACAGGTTCTTCTAGCCCTTGGTTGTGCTTAAAGATTATGTGGTCACCTCTGAGGGTTAGGAGCTCTATCTGAGCAGGCCAAGTTCAGGTCAGACATGCTGTCGCTGCAGTAAATCAGGGTTGATCCGGCTGAGTTAACAGAAGTTCATAATAATAATGTGGGGGGGAGGCACTGGCAAATGGCAGCTCCCTTGCTCTCCACCCCAGCAAGCCCAGAAGTAATTCAGTTCCGATTAGGGATGCTTGTTCAATATTCAAAATGTAAAACATGGAGGTTGCTGAACCAGCACTTTGAAAAGTTAATTAAATGCCAGGTTTCTTTTTAGCAGATACTTCATCACTCACTGATTGCTTTGGCCATTTTGCAGAGTGAAGTTTCATCTCTATGCATTAGGAATAAATATTCTCCCCTCTCTCAAGTCAGAGCACCATGACAAGAGCACATGGGGCCCTACTCTACCACATGCACTGTCCCAGGACACACCAAGATGTGAGAGAAGCTGCTGCACTGCCTTGCACTTCACCTTTCAAAGCCCTTCCATGAAACAGGCAGACTTCTCATCAGTTCTCTCTGATGAGGCCACAGGCCTCTTTGAGTCCTCCTATGAACAGTCCACTCTTCTAAGAGCAAGACAATGTCTAAATATGAAAAGAAAATCCTTGTCTCCATTGCTCTCCTTGGAGCTTGCAGTCTGTGAGAGGCTAAAGGTTAGACCCTATAAGTAATAATAGTCCAGTGATATCACTGCTATGGTCAGAACTACAGCCACATAAGTGACACCTGCACCTGAGCTTCCAGCAGAAGTACAGCGGAGTTATGAATTTAGGAGAGTTCTTTCAGTGGGGAGTAATTGTCCAGTTAAGTCATTTTCCCCAGTGATAGTGCAAAACACATTTGTGACCTCCTGATGCTGCAGAAAGAGAAAGTAATGGATCAGAGTCCACTGCCAGCACACAACAGAGTTTGGAATCTGACCAGAGATGAAAAGACGATACATGATTTATCCCATTTTCTCCCTCTCCCTTCTGCCTTCACGGAACTGCTTCCCACAGCCTGTCTTCAGACCCCTGGCACTCGCAGTGGGATCATTTCCTGGAGGTTCTATCTAACCTCTCCTTAGCACGATCCCATTATTCTTGCTAATTGTCCAGCCCCAAATAACCCTTTTTTTTTCCCTCAGCACTCACGCTTCTTACATTCTTGCTCACTGCCTGTTCCCAGGCAGGAGTGAAACATGTTTATGCCTCCCAGGAGAGGGTCACACCTTGCTGTCCCTGCAAGCAATTGCTGTTTCTTTTTCCTGAGCTCCCTCTCCTGATAGATATGCAGGTGGCCCACTGGGAACGCAGTCATATTTAGTCCTAGTGGCAGAGACTATTCTGCTCTTTCTCAGACTTAAAGCTTTCCAGACTTTTCCTGATTATGTTATAAATGGACTCATTGAAGGCAGTAAGAAAATATAAATTATAAGAGTTCACTTCACTGATCTAGATGACTCCAAATCCAGACAGCTTTGTTGGGGGTATCAGTACTCTTACTTAGGTTTAATTTTCTGTCTGCACTCAATACTTTCATAATTTGTACAGAATACTCAGATTCCTACACACTTCCAGAAGGCAGTTTTTGCACTCCCAAATCTGCAAGCTTGCCAAATAGCTTTACTTTATTATGAAATAACTGCACCGCATTGAAAAAAAAAAAACAGTAATGTGGAGAATAAATTAATAAACCAGGAAAGGACAGCAGTACTGCTCACTGTAACGCCAGAGCCTGGGTGTTAGAACACCCTCCTGTCTCTCCAGGGCTAGCTAAAGCCCCACTGTCAGTCCAGTCCCCATGCTTCAGGGAACAGAGGTGGCAGTGGAGGAAAGTATGTTACGTCGACAGTACTCTCATTTATAGAGAGCATTTAAATACCAATGGAAGCAGAGCAGGAGACAGAAATGACTGCTGTTCTGTTTAGGTGAGACATCTGCTTTCAGTCACCTGCACGACAGAGGTCTGTTAATATATGACTTGGAATAGCATCATTTGATGAAACTGGCATTTCAAACCAGCTCATGGGTAGAGAACTATCTGGGATATATGGTATGAAACTTCTGTAAGAATTTCATGTTCTACACTCCCTGTGACCTTGATGACCGAGTTAAGGTAAAGAAGATAAAAACCAGCTTTCTTTTTTTAAAAGTCCCAAACCCAAAGCCTTCCTTTTATTTTCTCTGATGACATATTACTTTTTAATTCCTTGTTTCAAGCTGGGGAAAAAAAATCACAAATATTTTTGGTTTGTTCTCCTGGCTAACGTTTTGCTTTCTTTGGCTGAAATGCATCATCTAAATCTACCTAACAAAGTGACCCAGAGAGAAAGGACAAGCTTTGGCCCATGACCTGAGGTTAAAAACCATCCAGGCAATAAGCAAAAAAAGTTGTTAATAAATTCTTGAAATGTGTCCTGCCTCCAACCCTGCACCTTTCATAAGGTTGGGTAAGGGCTGAGCTACACATGAGACAGTGTGCCTGCAGGTCCAGCTACCTGCTTGTCCCTTTGGTCTCCAGGTGCTATCAGCAGCTTCTGGAAGCCCTGCAGGCATTCTTTGTAAAGTTACCACACTGCTCAAAGTGGAGTGGAGTGGCCATTCCTGAGAACTGGCTCAGATTTATCAATGCCAATTGCAACATGCTGAGACCAACATTTCATCCTTTAAAGAATATCATGCCCAGGTGCACAGCATCTCACTCACCCCTAAGGGCATAAGTTTCTAGTAATGAGCGAAAACTGACATGGAAGAAGATAAACTGTAAAGTCAGGTCAGTACAGATAGATTTTCTACTCTCTTCTTGTGTCTCAGCAACAAGTGCATTGCCCTCACTTCCTGTTTGCTCTAACAGGAGACAAAGCCCAGGGAGGATAGCAACAAGCATCCATAAAATGAGCAATTGTGCATGAACTATAGAATGGAATGGTTTAGATGGAAGGGATCTTCAAAAATCATGTCTAACTGCCTGACCAATTCAAGGCTAGCCAAAAGTTAAAGCAGATTATTAAGGGCATTATCCAAATGTCTCTTGAACACTGACAGGCATCAACCACTTCCAGCCTTTGACCAACTTCATGGTAAATAATTTTTTCCTAACATGCTGAACACTCTCTGGTGCATCTTTGTGCTGCATGAATATACACTTAAGTAAGGGCAAGCAAAACAATACAGTCCCGGGAGCAATGCTCAGAAATGCACTGTGTGCTGTATTCACACCAGCCATCATCCGCTCTTGTGAGAACAATACTTTTGTTTCTCTCATTCTTTCTGACGGGGCAGAAGACCCCCGGCAGACCCCAGTGCATCCTATCACACAACTTCCGTTATGCACCACCTATTTGTCTCCAAGCTGTGCCGGAGCAGAAGATATAAACGTGATCTCGATCTGGAGCGACGCTCAGCCCCAGCCGGCCCAATCCTGCCTCGTGCTGAGAGGGGGCTGAATCTCAGAAACCCCTCCGCACCGCAGCGCACAGCCCGGCTGAAAGGGAGCTGCCTACAGCCGTGCCCAGAGGTGAAAGGCAGCTCTAATGTAGACATCATCTCCGTTAAACTGCTTCTTTCTCATTTAATGGACTACCACGGAGATCTAAATGGAGATAAAGTAGCAGGGCTCAGAGAACTGCCAGGCTGCTATCTTTATGCAGCATGACAATGTGCAGTGGTTAATTAGACACCGTTAACCTATTTTAGAGACGCACATAACTGGGATGAATGGAGGGAAACGTCCTTGAAATCTCTCCGTGCTCGCAGCTCACGCAGCTCCGCTCACGCCCGCAGCCCGCTCCGGGGGAGGGAGGACCCCCCGCACCCGCCGTGTTGCTGCGGAGCTCCGGCTGGAAGGCGGGGGACGACCGAAGGTCTCCGCCGGGCCACGGCCGCCCTCTGCCGGGCCTCGGCGGCGCGGCGGCCCCTCGGGATGGGCTGCGGGAGGCGGGTGTGAGGGGATCGGCTGCCAGGGAGGCCTGCAGGGCCGCACGTTGCGAGGTGCTTCCCAGGGCCCGGCAGCCCGGGGAGAATCTCATCTGCCTGCCTGTTCTTGGCATGTCTGAACCACTTCTCTTTACGATTAAAACCAAACAAACACCGTACACTCCTGCTCAAGTGTTTTGTCCGTGCCCATCACCGCGGTGAGTGGGCGGTGAGCCACGAGCAGCAGCTTGTTCAGCAGCCTGAGGCACAACTCAGCGCACATCCACAATGACGCACCAGTGCGAGCGCTCCCAGCTCCCCACGTGTGGGGCTCGGTCACTGCTTGCTCGCTGGGGCACAGCAGGTGGAGAACACCCACCAAAGCTTCACAGTGCAGAACTGCAGTGGTGCTGGAAGGCATTACACAACACGTCCTGACAGCTATCCCGTTTCACCTTCCTTGGGCTGCTGAGCAGTTGTTCAGCTTTCTACCCACCTCTCCCAGGACTGTGGCAGCCTGGAAAAGACTCCTAAAATCAAGCTGCACTTTGCCATCAAAACAGCACCCTCACCAGAGCCAAGATTGCAGTGATCTTTTATTTCTGTCATAGGACACTGTCTCACGGCCCTCCGCTCCCAAGCCCAGGAGCACATG